ACACATCCCCCACAAAAATGGTCAACAGTTTAACCCAAGAGGGCAATGTTCATAAACAGGTGATCTGTTCTTGATTGTAAAGCAGCAGTAGGACAGTCTCTCATTCTCATTCCATCCCTTAGGTGGCTTCTCCAAAGGGGTGATCCCCCACTTTGGTGTCATTCTTTTTAGCAGTGACCTTATCAGCAGTGGATTTGCCCCCGACAGAGGTCCAGGTAGCTAAACCAACCCAACTGAGAAAAGTGCTGGAGACTGCTGGATGCACCTCAGTTCTGCTGGAAAGCATTCACACAATTGTAGTGAAAGAGTCACTTGTGAAGGAAGAGGTGGCAGGTAGAATACACAATAGCTAGCAAGCTCCTTCTCTTTCACTCCCAGATGGTCTTTTGGTCCTCTCTGCTGGGGTGCTGTGGATTAAAGAAGAGGATAATTTAAGAGTGACATAGCAGGGATCTGAAAATTTGTCTGTCTCAATTCTATTGAATTTCTCTGAACTTCAACTGCATTTTCTTCCTGTCCTCATTCATATCAGAGTATAAGAGCTTATTTTCCAAAACTGAAATCTGTACAATTTTTAAAGCATATTTTAAACTATATGTGCAATTTACTTAATTTACAAACATTTCTACAAGTCACAATAATTTCCTTCAGTTACAGTTTTCTCTGTTATGTTCTTTACTTAATACCTTTATTGTGGAAAAGAGTGTTTCTGTGTATTTCCCCTCTCCCCACAAATACAAGCATTTCAACTGTTTTCATTTTAAAGTATACACCTTTTGTCCATTTGATTTCTTGTAAGCATTTTATAAGATTTGCAACTGTGTGAATGCTGAAGGCAAGATACAAATTATCTGCCAACAAATCTCAGGAAAGTAGCAAAAAGTAGACTCATCAAGAGTGCTGAGTCTAATGAAATTCCTTTTCATCCCAATCTTAAGAGGAAGCCCAGAATTATATTTGTAAAGTTGGTTCCTCAGCAATGTCAAAATATATCTCAAATCTCTTCCAGATCTACCACCCACTACTGAAATGAAGATAAATGTTTGGAAACATGAGTAGTGTGTATTAAGGATGCATGATTGAGGAGTCTAGCTTTCTACATACATGGTGCACTTGTAAAAATTAGGGCTGCTTGAGGTATTCAATGTTTGTAAATTCCAACATGAAAAGACCTGGTCTGAATCTCTTGAACTAACGTGCAGATCAAATTTTTCTTTCCCACTGGCTTTCACATTTCCAGAATGTTTTTCTGCAGCTCTCAGCTCAAAACACAATACATTTTTAAAATACATTTGAGAGAATATTCATTTAGAGGAGATACACTGAAATACAATTTAAAGTTGCAATTTAAATATGTGAGTGTTCATGCAGATTTTTTAAAAGTCAAAGATGGATGTGGAAATAAAACAGACTTATGAATGAACACATAAAAGTAAGAATAGACTTTTTTTTGTTGTTTGTTGTTAACTGCCCTTGAATCGACCTCGACTCATGGCAACCCTGTGGATGCGACACCTCCAAAACTCCCTGTCCTCTACTGCTCTCTTTAGTTCCTCCTAAGTAGAATCCATCCATCTAGCATGTGGCCTTCCTTCCTTTCTACTTCCCTCCACCTTTCCCAGCATTATTGTTTTTTTCTAATGAGTCCTCCCTTCTCATGATATGTCTGAAGTACAACAGCGTAAGTTTGGTCAGCTTGGTTTCCAGGGAGATTTCTGACTTGATCTGCTCTAGGACCCATTTGTTTGTCTTTTTGTCTGTCCACAGAATCCTCAGCACTCTTAACCAGCATCACATCTCAAATGAATTGATTTTCTTCTTATCTTCTTTCTTAACTGTCCAGCTCTCACATCCATACATGGTAATAGGGAATACAATGGCTTGTATGATTCTAACTTTTGTGTTCAGTTGTATCTTTGCATTTTAGGATCTTTTCCTAGTTCTTTCATAGTTGCACTCCCCATTCTTAATCTTCTGATTTCCTGACTGCAGTCCCCGTTGTTATCAATGTTTGATCCCAGGTATGAGAATTCTTTTACTATTTCTATTTCCTTGTTGTTTAGATTGAATTTGAGTAGATTCCCTGTGGTTATTATTTTTGTTTTCTTTATGTTGAGCAGTAAGCCTGCCTTTGATCTTTCTCAGTAGTTGTTCCAGGTCTGTGAGGTTTTCTGCTAGTATTATGGTGTCATCTGTGTACCTTAGATTGTTAATTTTCCTTTCTCTCATTTTCACACCTCCTTCTGTGTCAAATCCTGCTTTTCATACAATATGTTCTGCATAAAAGTTGTACAGCTAGAGTGATAAGATGCAGCCTTGTCTGACCTCTTTGGCAATTATTCCCATTCTGATATTCCTTGTTCTGTTCTGACAGTAGCCTCTGGTCCTGAGTAAAGATTCCTCATCAGGACTATCAGATATGCTGGCACTCCTATGTGGTTAAGGGTATTCCATAGCCTTTCATGATCTAGGCAGTCAAAGTCTTTGCTGTAGTCTACAAAGCACATTCTGATTTTCTTTTGGAATTACTTGGTGTGCTCCATCAGCCATCATATGTTCACAGGGTGGTTCCTAGTGCCTCCTCCTTTCCTGAATCCCACTTGGACCTCTGGGATTTCTCTCTCCATGTATGGTTGGAGTCTGTGTTGCAGAATTTTGAGCATAATTTTGCTTGCATGGGAGATTAGTGCTATGAACCTATAGTTGCTGCAGTCTTTGGTCTCTACTTTTTTGTGGATGGGGATTATATTGATTGTTTCCAATCTGTTGGCCATTGTTTTGTTTTCCATATCTATTGACATATGTTGGTTAGCACTAGAATTGACTCTATCAATGTGGATTGCAGCAGTTCAATTGGAATATCATCTGTTCCTGGTGATTTGTTTTTCACTATTTCTCTTATTGCAGTTTCCACTTCGCTTTTTAGAATTTGGGGTTCATCTTCATATGGCTCTTTGTTCCTTATTTTGTCATCTCTTTTATATTACTGTTCTGTGTATTGCATCCAATGTCTTTTTATTCCTTTCTGGTCTTGGATTATGTTATTTTTATTGTCATATAGCATCCCAGTCCTTGGCTTGAATTTTCCTTTGATTTCCCAGATCTTGTGAAATAGATATCCTGTCCTTCCCTTTTTGATGTTGTCTTCTGTTTCTTTGCATTGGTCATTGTAGTAGTTTTCTACCTTTTCACACTAGCCATTGTACTGTTGCATTCATGGTTCTTAGTTTTTTCCTATCTCCCATTTGTTTTGTTTCTCTTCTTTCCTTTATTGCATGTAGTATTTTATCTGTCATCCATGGTTTCTTCTCTTTCTTTTTGTCAATTGAAAGTGTCTGTCTGCCTTCTTCTTTTATTATGTCTTTGGCTTCAGACTATAGTTCATCTGGTTCTTGGTCTATTATGCTTAGTAGAACAAATCTGTTCCTTATATTGTCAACAAATTCTGTTGAGATATTGTTTAGATCACATTTTGGTATGATGACTGGTTTTGTTTTCTTCTTGAGTTTTACTCTTATTTTACTCTTATTTTAAACAGTCGTATTGTTATGCATTACTGCTTATACTCTAGTAAAAATTATTAATATTATAATAATATAATATAATATAATATAATATAATATAATATAATATAATATAATATAATATAATATAATAGCATTATAGTGCATATTATTAGTGAACATGTTTACTTTGAAGTAAATCCTGCTGTGCCTAATGCTACTTATTCCCAGGCAAAGGTAAGCAGAATTACAATCTCTCTCCTATTGGATTCCCTTTTTTTTTTTTTAAAAAAAAACAACAACAAAAAACAATAAAATTATATTTAAATATCAAGATAATATAAGAAATTATAGTGTATATTTTAGCACCTTAAACCTGTCATTGTAAATACCATTGTAAACACCATTGTAAATAGGTCTTAATATAAAAACAAAGAAATGAGATTGAGTCGACAATATATTTTTAAAATATTAAAAGCTGCAAATGTTATGATCACTAAGACATGGAAAAGACTGGCCTTCAGGGCTGGCTTCAAAAAGTAATGAACATGTCCAAAATGACTCCTATTGCATATCTTCACTCAGGGAGAGCAAAGACCATTCAAAGGTTTGTAGACAACTGGTAACTATCTGTGGAATTTTGGAACTGGAAATAGAGGGTTGGAGACAATCATGTGTTCATATTTCGACTTTTCTAAATCTGTAATCATGTAATTCTGTGAAGGAATGATATGTATCAACATATGTTGCATTTTTATTTCTTTTTGTTCATATTAGGATTCTGTTTTCCATACATACTGCAAAAAAATTCTGATCCAGTATTATCATCACATCACAAACTAAAAAAGAAATTGCATTTTTCATGAGCCAGTGATTGATATTCCATCAATTGAATAAAGATGATTTCTAGTCCCATGAGGTTTTACTGGCACACATCAAGCCTTTCTAGGGGATACAGATGTTAGAGATGGGAGAGGTTGTTTTCAGCGGAAAATGACAACCATTATGTTTTGAAATGATATTTTATCATTGATTGATGATTCAGGTTTAAGTGTGCTACAGATGGCTGGAATACACACAACTTCAGATGGCTGGAATACACACAACATTTCTATAATGTGGTCTGTAAAATTCGCTGAATTGCCCTCATCAGAATACAGCTTTTTGAAAAGCATGTATCACCTATTTTTGAAACCCTGTGGACAATTATTCATTCTCTCTCATTCTCTCTTCCTATGGCTCTTTGCATTTAATTGGTGAGATGGAAGGCAGCAGAAAAATTGCCTTTGCTGTATGTTATTGTTGTTGTGTACCCTCAAGTCTTTTCTGTCTGATGGTGATCCTAAGATGACCCTATTGCAGGGTTTTATTTTGGTGTTTTTTTTGTTTTTGTTTTTTGTTTTTTTTTTGCATGATTTGTTCAGAGGGGTTTTGCCTTACCTTCCTCTGAGGTTGAAAGAGTATGTCTTGCTGAAGGTCACCCAATGGATTTCCATGGTCATGTAGGGATTCAAACCCTGGTCTCTAGAATCATAGTCCAACATTCTAACCACTACACCATGTTTGATTTACAATTGATCTTTATCCCATTTTGTGCAGTTTAATTAGCTTTTGTTCCCACTTAGATGGACAGTTATTATGCTTTTAGTGGTGAGAGCCAGCATGGCATAGTGGTTTGAGTGTTGGACTACAACTGTGGTGACCATGTTTGATTTCCCACTCAGTCATGAAAACCCATTGGGTGTCCTTGGGCAAGTCACATGCTCTCAGATTCAGAGAAACCTCCTCTGAACAAATCATACCAAGTAAACCCCCATGATAAGTTCACTCTAGGGCTGACATAAGTTGGAAACAATTTGAAGGCACACATCAGCAACAAGGAGGTAGAACAGAATATAACGGCAATGCTCTGAAATGAAGCATACCACTTACAAGAACCAGAGTTTTGAAAGTTATTTTTTAGAAGCAGTTATTCATGATGGGAGGTTTGTTTGTTTTTAGTATTGTTGGACAAAATAGGTGCCACTGGTAGAAAAAAATATGCCATTTCAAAACTAATTATGTGTATTTGTAAAGATTAGAGGGAAAGTAGACACACTGAGTGCTTATTAACAATTTGACCATGTTTATCAAGCAACCTTGGTGGAAACAGTAGAAACATTTTGGCAGTACAAATGATGAGGCAGCAAGAATGGCTCTCATGCTGGCATGTTTCTTTTCTAAAGAGATTATCAAACCGGGGAAAGTGACAGAAGCATACTGGGATGTTCCTGTCACAGTGCTCTAGTACACTAAGATTATCAGATGATATTGCATGGTGGTGCCATAATCCCATCATTATTGGGTGAATAAAGAGGACTTTCCCATGAATAAAAAGCAGCCATAGAATTCCTCTTTATTTGTGTGATAATGATGGGATCATGGTGACATCATGTGACATTGTCAAATTGTCTCCAATTTATTTCAACCCTAGGGTGAATGTATCACAGGGTTTGCTTGGTATGATTTGTTCAGGGGTATGTGCTAAGATTATCAGATGAGATCGCCATAATCCATTATTATCAGATGAAAAAAGAGGAATTCTAAGGCTGCTTTTTATTCGTGGGACTTTCCCTTGAATAAAAAGTGGCCATAGAATTCTTCTTTATTTGCACGATAATGATAGGATCATGGTGAAATCACATGGCTTTGTTTGGTAATCTTAACACACTAGCGCAATAGTTGACAGGAGCATCTTGGTATTATCTGGTCACTTTGTCCAGTGTGATAATCTCTTATGTCTGTAAGAATTTCTGCAGACTAATATTGGGTTTTTTCCAGTCCCAATAGTTGTATTTACAAGGTCCACAAAAATAGTCAAGTAATTTATAGTTAGATTTTTAAAGTAATTCTTTACTTTTCCACATTCTAACATAGTTAAAAGTAATAAAACAACTGAAATAGTAGAAATGAATTCATTTTAAAATAACTTAAAAAATCTGAATGCTAAAAGCCACTAGCTTGTGATACAGACACCTGTTCATGCTGCCATTATCTCAACACCCACAACAAAGAATAAGACAGCTTCATGAAGCACTGCAAGAAATAGCACTTGAATCATGAGATGGTCCTCCTCAACCATTTAGTGAGATCACATCCCCTAAAAGGAGCTAAAGGCTACAGTTATGATACATGAGAAATTAAATTACAATCATTAAATTATAATCATAGAGTAATCTAGTTATATATAGAATTAACTAGTAAGTAGTAATGCTGAGCTGTGGAATGAAGATACCATTAAATACAGTCAATGTCAAGCAATTTTCTAATTCCTGAAAAGATAGCCCACATATTGTTATGTATGCCTTCAAGTCATTTCCAACATATGGCAACCCTATAATGGGTTTTTCTTGGGAAGATTTGTTCAGAGGAGATTTGCCATTGCCTTCCCCTGCAGCTGAGAGCGTGATTTGGTCACAGTCACCTAGTGGGTTTCATGGCCCAGCTGAGAATCAAATCCTGGTCTCCAGAGTTGTAGTCCAACACTCAAACCTTTATGCCAGGCCATGTATAGAAACTTCCAAATATGGATACAGTGAGGAGGAGAGAATCACCAAAAGGTTCCTGGTATTGCAAGAGAGATCCCTGAACCAATCTCTCAGCACATCTTGAGTTAAGAAGACAGACAGAAAAATTGGTGAAATTGGTGCTAGATACAGCCAAGAACACATCTCCTCTTCTTGTTTGAAATCTGATCATCAATAACAGCTGGGGGTGGTGTGCTGATCAACCTTTCCTCAATTTGACACTGTCCAAGTATATTGGACTTTAATACCCCTCATCCATAACCAGTGAGGGACCTTGAAGGCAATTATCCAGCAACACAGCAAAGAGACGTTCCTGAGTGTAGCTTAAAGAAATAGCTCTCCGTTGTGCTTGCTATTCCCTTAAATAGAAGCAATATATTTAGTACAGTTATTTGTTTCCTTCATGATTTCTTGGAGTAGATCAAGGGCACTATAGAGCTGAAACACCCCCAACCTCTAAATCACTACCATAAATTCCTTTGGAAAATCCATGATTGAAGTCTCACTTTCCAACCCTTGGTGACAGCATGAACCAGTGAGAAAATAGTTTTCAGCTCCAGCTTGACTTGGGGCTTTGTGTTTGCAGCTGTTAACATAAACAAGGATTCCTCACTGCAGAGCACTCAGCAGGACAGCAGCATTGTGTTTTATGTTACATTGACAGAAAACTATGCATAGTAATCAGGAGACAATGTGGGGCTAAAATACAATGGTGAATTTAGCATTTTGCTTCTGAAATATCAAATATCCAGGAAAACTCACTCTTTTTCATATTATTTTGTCTAAAAAGTAAAGGTATTCCCCACTGACAAAATTGTCAAGTTGTGTCTGACCATAGGGGGTAGTACTCATCTCTGTTATTAAGCCAAAGAGCCAGCATTGTCAGAGACTACTCTGCGATCCTGTGGCCAGCATGATTGCACAGAACACTATTTACCTTCCCACTGAAGTGGTACCTATTTATTTATTTGCATTTGCATGCTTTTGAACTGCTAGGTTGGCAGAAACTGGGACTAGTGATAGGAGCTCACCCCATCATGCAGCACCTACTTAACATTTAACCAAACTGAGCTGAGCATTGTAATATATACTAGTTAGCAAAGCTCCTGCCTTCTTGCCAACTGAAATCAGGTAGTACTCTGTATGCCATGTATAGTGTATGCCATGGAGTCAACACTATTCTCTGAGCCAAGACATTGAATTTCAGACCCATTTGGGCCAACATGGACCTTAAAAGTGCAGTGAGAACATTTTGGCAGGTCTAGTCCAATACTTGTTGCCTGAGGCAAAGGACATTAAATTAATTTCCCCATTGAATACAATTTGTGGGTGCCCTCCCAGGACTCTAGGTTTTTGGGTAACAGATGATATTTGACCAATGGATGTTTTTTCGCCTAACCCACTTTACAAGATGATTGAGAATACTGTTGCTCTCCCCCAGCTTGGAGCTTCAAGCCAACTCTGCTTTCTAAATTAACTGTAAGTGTTATAATAGTAGGACCTTTGCAGAATTATCTCAGCCTGTGGCCTCTTTTTCTTCAGGCCAAAGGAAGTGTTTTTTATCGCACTGTGTTCTCAGAACTTAATGAGTACCTGATGAGAACAGAATGCAACATATTTTATTGCGTGGTATGATCCTCACTGAGTTCCCATTCTGTGCTCTGACAGTCCCTAGCCTGTTCCAGGAGGAGAACTGTAAAAATGCGTCCTCAGCAAGCAAGAACGCTTTCAGACTGTTCGATATCATGTGTGTACGATAATCCTACCCAGTCTCAATCTGTCCTAATGTGTTTTTTTAAAAAAATTATTATTAAAAAACATAAATAAACACAGACATATATCACAAATAAACAAATTGACATATCTTTATATTTGCATTTAAACAAACTAACAAAACAAGACAAAGACTAACTCTAAAAATTCTTCCCTTCCTTTAGTTTGGATAATATTTTCTTATTTCTGTCAATTTTCAATATCATCACCTACACATGTTTTGTTATCCTATCATCACAATTGTAATATCTATTCTTGTTTGATTTTGCACAACTTTGTTCAATTATTTTCTATTACACCTTTACTTACAAACATTGAATCACATTATATAGTATGTCTAATTCAGACTTTGACTTACTAAAGGGGGTTGCAGACTGCCAGAAATAGTGCAAATTGAGTCCACTTTTAGGGTTAGGGTTAGTGCTAGGGAATCATGGGAATTGTTTTTTTTCTGAGACATTGAGCCTTCTCTGTCAGAGAACTCTGGTGCCACAATAAAATACAGTTCCCATGATTCCCTAAACCTAACCCTAACCCTAAAAGTGGACTCAATTTGCACTATTTCTGGCAGTCTGCAACCCCCCTAAGTGACTAAGTATTTTCTGAATATAAACAATTATTTCCTTTTTTTACCAGTTGTTCCCCTTTAATTATAACACTCCTTCATATGACTATGTTTCCAATAAATCTGTCCTCATGTTCTGATTGGCTAAGACAACCTCCTCCCCTCCCATCCTAGAACATGCACAAACTCAACTCTTCTGGTGTTGATGCAAGGAAGGTGCCACAGGTAATTTAATTTTTTATTATTATTTTTGTAGATTGAATTGCGTTGTGTTTACAAGAAAAAATAACGAATGCTCGCTACCTAAACCTCTCAGTAGCATTCTTTCCAATGCAGTCATAGGGGTTTTCGCAACAGTGAGCATGCGCCAATGAGGGACAGCTGAGGAACTGCTTTAGTGCCGGTACCGGTACAACAGTAAATGCAGTGCGATAGTATGTGTTCTCATAATGTTACTATCCTGTTATCAGTAGTCTAATGTGGTAACACCCATTCCCATATTGTGACGTTCCAGGGACTCGATGGGAACGTTACAGGTACTAGTGCGATAAACCTATTTATCTCAACCAGTTGCTCTTCCCTTCAGGAAGCACAATGTAACTAGACTAGACTGTGTCATATTGTCAATGGACCATTGCAAGAAACTACAGGATACAAATATGC